TATTTGTATTCCTTTTATTCCTTCTTCTTGCCTAATTGCTCTGGCTAGGAATTCCAGTACTATGTTGAATAGGAGTGGAGATATTGGCATCCTTGTCTGGTTCCTGATTTTAGAGGGAATGGTTTTAATTTTTCTCCATTAAGTATAATGCTGGCTGTAGGTTTGTCATATATAGCTTTTATAATGTTGAGGACTTTCCTTCTATTCCTAGTTTTCTTAGAGCTTTTATCATGAAATGATGTTGGATCTTATCAAAGGCTTTTTCTGCATCTATTGAGATGATCAAGTGGTTTTTGTCTTTGCTTCTGTTAATGTGGTTTATTACGTTTATTGATTTTCGTATGTTGAACCACCCCTGCATCCCTGGGATGAAGCCTACTTGGTCGTGGTGAATAATCTTTTTGATGTGTTGTTGAATTCGTTTGCCATTATTTTGTTGAGGATTTTTGCATCAATGTTCATTAAGGAGATTGGCCTATAGTTCTCCTTTTTGGAGGTGTCTTTGCCTGGTTTTGGGATAAGTGTAATACTGGCTTCATAAAATGTGTTTGGCAGTTTTCCTTCCCTTTCTATTTCATGGAACAGTTTAAGGAGGGTTGGTATCAGTTCTTCTTTAAAGGTCTGATAGAATTCAGCAGAGAATCCATCAGGTCCTGGACTTTTCTTTTTGGGGAGACTCTTGATTGCTGCTTCAATTTCATTTTGTGTTATAGGTCTATTCAGGTGATTAATTTCCTCTTGGTTCAGTTTTGGATGATCATATGTATCTAGAAATCTGTCCATTTCTTTTAGATTTTCAAATTTATTTGAATATAGGTTCTCAAAGTAGTCTCTGATGATTTCCTGGACTTCCATGGTGTTTGTTGTTATCTCCCCTTTTGCATTCCTGATTCTACTAATTTGGGTTTTTTCTCTCCTCATTTTAGTCAGGTTTGCCAGGGTCTATCGATCTTGTTTATTTTTTCAAAGAACCAACTTTTTGTTTCATTAATTCTTTGTATGGTTTTTTTGGTTTCTATTTCGTTGATTTCAGCTCTTATTTTTATTATTTCTCTCCTTCTATTTGTTTTGGGATTTGCTTGTTCTTGTTTTCTAGGAGTTTGAGATGTATCATTAGGTCATTGATTTGGGATCTTTCAATCTTTTTAATATATGCACTCATGGCTATAAACTTTCCTCTCAGACTGCCTTAGCTGTGTCCCATAGGTTCCGGTAGGTTGTGTTTTCATTTTCATTGACTTCCAGGAACTTTTTAATTTCCTCTTTTATTGCATCGATGATCCATTCTTCATTAAGTAATGAGTTATTTAGTTTCCAGCTGTTTGCATGTTTTTTGTCTTTACTTTTGTTGTTGAGTTCTACTTTTACTGCATTGTGGTCAGATAGTATGCACGGTATTATTTCTATTTTCTTATATTTGCTGAGGCTTGCTTTGTGCCCTAGGATATGATCTATTTTGGAGAAGGTTCCATGGGCTGCTGAGAAGAATGTATATTGTGTAGAGTTGGATGAAATGTTCTGTAGACATCTACTAGGTCCATTGATCTATTGCATATTTTAGATCTTGGATTTCTTTATTGAGTTTTTGTTTGGATGACCTATCTATTGATGATAATGGGTGTTAAAGTCTCCCACAACCACTGTGTTGGCGTTTATATATGCTTTTAGGTCTTTCAGGGTATGTTTGATGAAATTGGGTGCGTTGACATTGGGTGCGTACAGATTGATGATTATTATTTCCTTTTGGTCTATTTCCCCTTTTATTAGTATGGAATGTCCTTCTTTATCTCGTTTGATCAATGTAGGTTTGAAGTCTACTTTGTCAGAGATAAGTATTGCTACTCCTGCTTGTTTTCGGGGGCCATTGGCTTGGTAAATCTTCTTCCAGCCTTTCATCCTAAGCATATGCTTATTTCTGTCGGTGAGATGAGTCTCCTGTAAGCAACAAATTGTTGGATCTTCTTTTTAATCCATTTTGTCAAACGGTGTCTTTTGATGGGTGAATTAAGTCCATTAACATTAAGTGTTAGTACTGATAGGTATGTGGTGATTCCTGCCATTTAGTTATCTTAGTTGTTTGAAGGTTTGATTGTGTGTACCTAACTTGATGTTACTCTCTACTGTCTTGCTTTTTCTTATCCTGTGGTTTGGTGCTGCCTGCCTTTTCATGGTTAAGTTGGGTGTCACTTTCTGTGTGCAGGATCCCTTGCAGAATCTTTTGTAATGGTGGCTTTGTGGTCACATATTGTTTTAGTTTCTGCTTATCATGGAAGACTTTTATTGCTCCATCTATTTTGAATGATAGCTTTGCTGGGTAGAGTATCCTGGGGTTGAAGTTATTTTCATTCAGTGCCCGGAAGATCTCACCCCACGCTCTTCTTGCTTTTAATGTTTCTGTTGAGAAGTCTGCTGTGATTTTGATGGGTTTACCTTTGTATGTTACTTGTTTTTTCTCTTACAGCCTTCAATATTCTTTCCTTAGTTTCTGAACTTGTTGTTTTAATGATGATATGTCGTGGAGTAGTTCTATTTTGATCTGGTCTGTTTGGTGTCCTGGAGGCCTCTTGCATTGTATGGGAATATCTTTCTCTAGATTTGGGAAATTTTCCGTTATTATTTTGTTGAATATATTACGCATTCCCTTCGCTTGCACCTCTTCTCCTTCTTCGATGCCCATGATTCTCAAGTTTGGTCTTTTGATGGAGTCAGTGAGTTCTTGCATTTTCTTTTCACAGGTCTTGAGTTGTTTAATTAATAGTTCTTCGGTTTTTCCTTTAATTACCATTTCATCTTCAAGTTCTGAGATTCTGTCTTCTGTTTGTTCTATTCTGCTGGATTGGCCTTCCGTTTTGTTTTGCAGTTCTGTTTCGTTCTTTTTTCTGAGGTTTTCCATATCCTGGCTGTTTTTCTTTATTGTTGTCTATTTTTGTCCTGAGTTCATTTATCCATTTATTCATTGTGTTCTCTCTTTCACTTTGGTGTTTATACAGTGCTTCTATGGTTTCCTTTATTTCTTCTTTTGCTTTTTCAAATTCTCTATTTTTATTGTCTTGGAATTTCTTGAGTGTCTCCTGTACATTTTGGTTGACCCTATCCAGTATCATCTCTATAAAATTCTCATTGAGTACTTGTAGTATGTCTTCTTTTAAATTATTCTTGTGGGCTTCATTGGGTCCTTTGGCATAGTTTATCTTCATTTTGTTGGAGTCTGGATCTGAGTTTCTGTTCTTTCATTCCCCTCTGGTTCCTGTACTAATTTTTTGCTGTGGGGAAACTGGTTTCCTTGTTTTTTCTGTCTTCCTGTCATTGTCCTTGGTGTTGTTACTGTCCCTGTACTGTGTGTAATTAAGTATTTTCTAGCTTGTAATAATAACAATGGTAATATTGAGAATGGAAGAGTGAGCTGAGATGGAAAGCAAGAAGTTAAAGAAAAGGGGAAAACAAATATACAGACAAGAGGGAGAAAGCAGAACAAGGTATCAGACAAGAGAGTTTCAAAGGTATAAACAGGGAGTGTTAGTGTACTAATCGACAGTAAGCTGAACAGACAATAGAGAGACAGAGAGAGGATTGAAAATCAAAGATAAAAAAAAAAAAAATAAGTATATGAAAGTAATATCTATTTATAAAAATGAATTAAAATAAAATGGAAAATAGGAAATTAAAAAAAAAAAAAAAAACCAAAAAACTTCCAAGTTTATATGCAATGCAATTTCAGTCTTAATAATTTGGATGTCCGTCTCAATCTCCAGTCCTGGAGTTGGTGCCTCAGATGTTGTTCTGTAGTTGTCTCATCAAAGGGGATGCATAAAGTAGAACAAAACTACACTCACACACACACAGAAGAAAAAAAAAAAAAAGCCCCACCAAGTGTCCCCAGTTCAAATGCAATACAGTTTCAGTAAGTTTTTCGGCTTGCAGGTGTAATTCGGTTGTTCTCTCATCAAAGGTAGGGAGAAAAAGAAAAAAAAGCGTCTGGAGGCAGTTCTGAGAGTGGTATCTGCAACTGTGGCTTGCCTGCCTGCTGCTCTCAGCCTGTAGCTGGCGGCGTTATTTATGCAGATCTCTGGGGTGAGCTTAGCACTCACCTGGTCCCACAGGCTTTGTTTGCTCAGAGTTCTCCTGTGCGGGGGGGGGGCTACAGGCTTTCCCTTTCCAAGCACTGGGAAAGGCGACACTGCCCCGCGTTGTCAGGCCTGCGTGTTTATTTACAGTTCACGTGGGAAGTGGGTCTTCCCTCCTCTCACAAGCGTCCCCGCTCCTGGTTGCTGGCGCGCCCGCTCCCGCCAGAGCCTCTCCACCCCGCCCGGCTCGTTTATTTACAGTCCCGGGAAGGATTCCCTTCCCCCAACCTTCAGCGCTCAGGGCGCCCCACCCTCTTTCCAGCGTGTCTTAACTGTTCTTATTGCTTATTACTCAGTTTCTCTTTTTTTCCCGGGTGGAGGTCAGTCTGTCCAGGGGGCTATGCTGCTCTGGCCCAGGCTTGTCTGTGGGGGAACCGCGGTACCGCGAAGCTCACCTGGTCCGCGTCTTCCCAAGCCGTATGGGCGCCGGCCACTGGCGGCCCCGGGGGCCTCCTCGGTTCTCCGTTTAACGTGAAGTGGAGATTCTCTGCGCCGGCTGGAGATGTGGAGGAGTCAAAGTTATGCCTTTTCTCGGTGATTATGCCTGCAAAGTGTGTCTCCAGCGTCTCTCCAAGATTTCACTATAGGAGGGTCGCTTTCTGCTTCCTACCTCTAGCCGCCATCTTGGAATCTGTCTGCATTAAACTTTTAACAAAGTTTCAGAACTATGGTAATAAATTTAACTTAGACAGTTGGTTAAGTAGAAGGAGCTCTGGCGGGGTTCCAGGCCTTCTTGGCTCTTCCTAGTACTATGCCTTTAGACCAGTCACTTTCCCTTACGTGTCAGTTTCCACACTTGTGGATTGAGAAGATGCAGTTGCACTGTTCCTAACATCTTATCCAGCTCTAAGAATCTTACTTCTTTTCTGTTTCTAGGGTTAGCATAAAAGAATCATCTGTAGCAAAACTAGGATCAGTATGCCGTAGGATTTACAGAATATTTTCACATGCTTATTTTCATCACCGGCAGATATTTGATGAATATGAAGTAAGTGTATCTCACTAATTATCATAATGCCTTCTTATCAGAATGACACAACATGTTGATACTATTGCTAGTTTCTGATTTTTGGATAATAAAATGGCTTCCTTTCTTTCTACAGAATGAAACATTTTTATGTCATCGGTTTACTAAATTTGTGATGAAATATAATTTGATGTCCAAGGATAACCTGATTGTACCAATTTTAGAAGAGGAAGTTCAGAATTCAGTTTCTGGGGAAAGTGAAGCATGAAGAGAATCACAGAGAAAAATGTACTGATCGCATAATTAACATTAATTATGTACTGTATATATCATTTTAGACACATCAATCATGTATCCATATTATAGCTTCTTTGTTTAGTATAGGGTTTTGTATGCTATGTGTTGCCTTTTAAAATGGGAAATACTTTTTAAGTTATTCATGAGCTGTATATTCACCAGTGTGGCACTCATGGTTTTTAAATAAGATTAGTATTATCTGTTTATAATGCCTGTTAATAAAAGAATTTACAGTTTGGTAAAATTGCTGCTAAACAATCATTGGATCACAATCCTCATCAAATAAATCTATCTATAAAAAGGATGAGTGAACTTAAGGTTTCACAAAGCCGTTTACTAAAGAAATAGTAATGTTTTCCTTTGGTTTCACCCCAGTTTTGATATTTTAGAAAATTTTCTAGTATGTAGTTCCTTCTTAACTTCCAAAATGAGATAAAGGTGTTTTAAAATTTTGTTTGTAGTTTTTGACATGCATATATAATTATGTGTATATCCAAATATAAATACAAATGAGGCATTTATAATACTTAATCTTACTATACTACATAAAGTATATTTTAGGCCAGCATTCTTGGAAACAATTTACCTTTTTGCAACAGTGGATTATTAAACACATGCCAAGCATAAAGATAAGGCATAGATGGTTCCCACTGGAAACCTGCTTTCTCTGCCCCTTCTCATTTCCTTTAATCCTCTCTCCAAACTATTTAATTCACACGATCATTTATTGCTGGCTTATACCTATTTATATTTGTATTAATTGCTTACAGATTGTACCTCACACTAGCAATTATATTACACTACAGGAAAACTATTGGCATAAGCTCTTGCTTTTCTTTGTTTTGGGAAAATTGTTCTAACTACTTAGAATGTAGTCCTTAGTATAGTTTTATTCTCCCTGTTCGTAATATTAATCTTTCCGTCTAACCATAGGAGCATTAAATACAAACAAAAAAAAATGCTGTCGTATTTATTTTATGTCCTCTCTAGAAGTTTATGTTTGAATTATATGACATGTAAGGATAGTTGCAATAATTGACAGGTTCCAATGCTGTTGATGATGGCCATATGCGTTTTGGAAATGCTGTAATTCAGTGTCTTCATTAGAATTCAAGTGCAGATTTGTCTTAACAAGTCTTTGAAAACTTTTGATGAGGTTTTTCATCACTGGAGGTCTTATTGCCATACTGGTTGTAAAGAGGCTCTGAGATAAGGGGAAGGAATTATACATGTAGCCAAGAAAATATCTAAAGTCATTTTTTTGACGAGATTTAACAAACAGGAAATTCTTTTTCGTTTAAACGTTATTTTGAAGTGAAGATGAAAATTCATTCATCTTGTTTTTCAAGGAAGTAGTTTATGCCATACTATCAGACAAGTATGTACAGAAAAATGTAGGAAGTAGCAGCATACTGGGTGTGTATGTATAGTTTACGCCTTCCCAAGACTGCCTGTCCTTTTGGCTTTGAAGAGTACTCTCCCAGCAGCCACAGTCATTACTATTACTATAGCACTACCCTCTACTGTCATTTAAGAAGTTTTTGTTCACAATGAAAGGAATGTTGACTTTGAAATTATGCATTCATATTAATGTCACTATAAACCAATGGGAATAGTAATTTTTAAACAAACTTGCTAGACAAAGTTAATAAATTATATGTAGCAATGCAGCTGTTCTCTAGATGGCGCCTCACAATGGATTTCTGTTGCTTGATTGTTTCTCAGTGAACATTTGAACTAAGGTAGTGACTGGATTGGTGATCTGCTAAGTATTTTAAAACACATTTTGAATACATGGCTTAGTGTTAACAGGGAAATAAAGTGTGATTTTGTTTTTCTTACTCATTCTATCCTCCCTGTACTTTGTGTTTGGAATTAATCATAAGAAAAGTCTTCTAAAGAGAACATCAGTTTTTAGTTTTGCGTTTGTATACATATTGACATCTCATTGATATTCAATGCACTGTGAAGTTGATTGTACGAGGTAAGACCTAAATGAAGCAATTCCTGTTTTTCCTTGAATACTATTTACAGAATTTTGAAAGTGGACATAAGTGGCATTTAAAGATAATAGCTTCATCCTGGCAAACCACTGAGTTATAAAATAACTGTTATAAGCAGAGAAGAAATGGAGAATTCCCAGTTCTGTGTGATAGGGAAATTAGATTCCACTGTTTTATTGCTTAAGCCATACCGTCAGCCCTAGATTCCACTGTTTTAATAATCCTAGATAGATCCAAACATTCAAATTAAATTTTTCTTTCCATAAAGACCATATAGTCAACTCAATCTTTTTCTCCTATCATATCTGAGAAAGTAGGTAGTAATCATGTATGTTACCACAAGTAACATAAGTAGTTCTTTGGTGTGTGTACATTTTCTTTTCTCTGAGTTGAGGTGTTAAATTTGCATTTGTAGAACAGTTTCTCAGTAAATTTTTTCTTTTTGGGTTTTGGGTGTTGGGGTTTGAACTCAGGGTCTTCACCTTGAGCCACTCCACCAGCCCTTTTTTTTTTTTTTTTGTGATGATGGGTTTTTTCGAGATAGGGTCTCCTGAACCATGCCTGGGCTGGTTTTGAACCATGATCCTCCTGATCTCTGCCTCCTCAGTAGCTAGGATTATGGGCATGAGCCGCCAGCACCCAGCAGGACTATCTTATAAACATATTTACTGACTTGGAAAATTCATTTTGTAATAGAACTAATATTTTCTTTTTTTTTAATGTACTAGGGTTTTAACTCAGGACTCCTTGTGCTACCACTTGAGCCTCTAGTCCTTTTTTGCTTTTAATTATTTTTCAGGTAGGATCTTGTGTTTTTGTCCAGTGTGGACCTTGTACTTGGATGCTTCTGCCACCTCCTGTTTAGTTGGGATCACAGATTCGAGCCACCATGCCTAGATTATCGATGGAGATGGAGGTCTCACTAACTTTTTGCTTGGGCTGGCTTTGTGTCATGATCCTCCCAATTTCCACCTCCCCAGCAGCTAGGATTGCAGGCACGAGCCACCATACCCACCTCAAGAGCTAATTTTTTTCACCTCTATATGATGACGTGTTTTATTTCCAGTCTTCCAATAGTGTTATTTTGGCAATTAAATTATATTTTTATTAAATTCCTTGGAGTGCCGGGTATTGAACTTGACCTTGTACATGCTAGGCAAGCACTCTACCACTGAGCAATTATTCCCCACCCCTTGTTTATTTGAGACAAATTCTTGCTCTCTAGCCCAGGCTGCTCCCAAACTCATAACCCTTCTGTCTCTGCCTCTTAAGTACTGGGATTAGAGGTGTGTATCATAACACTTGGTGCCAAGTTCTCTAGGTATTTTATTTTGTGAACACTTCTTGAATGTAAGGACTTTTTTTTTTTTTTTTTTTTTTTTTGGTGGTACTGGGGTTTGAACTCAGGGCCTCATGCTTGCTAGGCGTTATACCACTTGAGCCACTCTACCAGCCCTGTTTTGTGTGGGTATTTTTGATACAGGGTTCTGCCCCAGCTGGCTTTGAACTGTGATCCTCCTGATCTCTGTCTCCTGAATAGCTATGAACCAGTGCCCAGCAAATGTAAGGTTTCTTTGTGTAATTCTTCCATGCTATGAAAACATTTTACTGAAAGTAGCTAATTTTCCTTTGTAATTGTTAAGCAAGCAGATAATACAGCTGTATTTGTGCAACACATTGAGCAATGTGAGATGATCTGAACATTAAAAGCTGTTTCCAAAAACATGCATTACTCATGTAGGGAACATTACAAAACTGGAAAACTGCAAGTGAACGCACCAGTAGGTTAGGTTACTCATATAATGGGTTTAGTGAGGAGCGCCCCTTCTGAATGACTTTTCTACTTTTGTACACATAAAGCTTCATGTCAAGAGTGAGAAGCTAATGTAATTAAGCAAAGAGGATATTAAACTTTCATACTTACTGTCTTTTCAAAAGATAAATATTAGTTCCAGAATTTACATTCATGAAGATAGTGTATTTATTGTCTGATAATGACTCTAGGAACAATTGTGACATCAACATTCAAAGCTAGTGAGTCATTCATTCTTTTTTAATGAAATCAGGGTTTTCTCCAGATCTGGAATTTTCCTGTAAACCTTGGTAAATTCACTTTATAATTCCATAAATAGTGTATTTACCACTTCATGGACCTCACGAGAGCTATCTGAACTGTTTTTTTGTGGTTTTTGTTTTTTGGTTCGGTTTTTCCCATACTGGGGTTTGAACTTAGGACCTCACACTTCCTAGGCAGGTGCTCTACAACTTGAGCCACTCTGTCACTCTAGAGCCATCTGTTATCTTGCCTGGGTTCTTCACTTAGTCAGGTGTAGTCCCAGCACTTGGGAGGCTAAGGCGGGAGGATTTCAAGTTTGAGGCCAACCTGGGCTACATAATGTCTCAACCTCTTTTCCCCCCTCTCTGAAAAAAACGAAAAACTTCACATGAAAATCAGTGATGGAGCTAGGGATGTAGCTCACCGGGCACTTACCTACCATGCTTGAGGCTCTGGGTTCAATCTCCAGCATGAGAAAGAAGTTACAGTTTATGTTACTGGCTATAAGGTTTATCTCCTTTTTTGTGACAGTGTGAAAGTAACACATTCATGTACTACAATGCCTTATTTGAGAATTTTCTACATCCCTACAAGTGATTGTTTTTTATTTATTTTGGTGGTACTGGGATTTCAATTTAGGGCCTTGCTCTTACTAGTCAAGTGCTCTATCACACCCTTACCCCACATAGCTGGTATTATAGTCATGCTTTATATACTTAACTTGCTTGTTGAAATGTGGTCTTGCTAGCTTTTTGCCAAATCTGGTCTCACACTGTGATCCTCCTGATCTCTACCTCCTGAGTAACTGGTTTATAGGTGTGAACTGCTATGGCTGGCCTGATTTTAAATATGCTTAGTTTTCATTAGTATCAATGTCTAGAAGAAAGTATTTTGTTTTAAAGTTCAGTCAAGCAGGAATGATAGGATTCTAACGTATTTTCTCTTCTGTCTCAGGTAGGTTGAGGAGAGGAGGTGAAGGAATGAAATACTGGGTGTAGTCACTACTGCACCAGCAAGTGGGATACTACTTTGCCCAATTCTAATAATTCAATAGTATCTTTTGTACTTTTGAGGATAGGTGGCTAATTTATCTTCCTTAAAAAGTCATTGTGTTTTTAAACCAGGTGTGTTTTATATATGCACACACACGTATGTATGTAGATATACACATGTCTATATGCCACATGAAGTAACATTTACAGCTTACAGGGATTAGAACATGGACGTTTTTAGGGGCCTTTATTCAATCTACCACAGCAATCATCTCCAATTCACAATTGTTCGCTTGCTTAAGCAGCCGAAGGCTTGCCTAGCATGCATAAGGCTCTGAGTTCAAGCCCAACCACCACCAAAATGGGGGCAGTGGTGGTCAAATTCGTATTGTAAATCTCAGAAAGCTCTCTGCTCTGAATTTTATTTTTGCTGCTATCTTTTATTTCCTGTATGCTACTGTTTCTGTCTCCCAATCACATTTCATAATTTGAGATTCTTCCTGCAGATTACCATTGGCTGCGTCCTGATCGGGTGGGGACAGGGCTCAGTGGTAGAGAACTGGTTTAGCGTTGATGAGGCGCTGGGTTCTGACCGAAAGGCACAGCATGCCTTGATCAATTTGTGGCCCCACCAGACACAGGTTTTTCCCTGCTGGCCGAGCTCCAGCCGGGGCCTTAAGCATTCCAACACTGATAAAGATGTTAAGATTGCTGCCCAAAACGGGGAAAGAAACCAGCCATGGCACTGAGCCCAAATTCTTAAGCTTTCCTGTGAATGCCATAGCTCGACTCCCTTGCTGCAGATGGACCTCAGTACATTGTCTGCTCTTCTCGTTGGCTGTTGGAAGGGAGACTAACCTGCAGCACCGCGAGTCTCTAAGACATGCCTTTGACTGATCGGCTCGGCATTCTTGCTTCTCTGTGCAATCCCAACCTCTGTACGGTTCCTGGCATTCGCCTGGGGGAGCCCCTCTGCAGCAGCTGTTAGCACAACTCCAGGTGTGGGTTCAGAGGGAAGAAACAGCCAGCATGAGGTCTGCAGAGCACTGCTGACTGCAGTACTGTGTTGGACAGCAGGTCTCCAGAGTTTAGTCACCTCACTGGCCTGAGGCCGAATGTCCACAGAGTAGCACCTCCACAGTCCCCCTTGGCTCCTGGCAGCCACTGTTCCATGCTTTCATTCTACAAATCTGGCTACTTAGACACCTCATGTAAATGAAGTCACGCAGTATTTGTCTTTTTACGACTAACATTTCATTTAACATAACATTCTCCAGGTTCATTCAGGTTATAGAGAGTGATTGGAGAACTTTCTTTCAAAAAAAAAAAATCTCAGCTGGGTGCTGGTGGCTCACGTCTGTAATCCTAGTTACTCGGGAGGCAAAGACCAGGAGGATCATGGTTTGAAGTCAGCCAGGCAAATAGTTTGAGAGACCCCATCTTGAAAATACTCATCACAAAAAGGGCTGGTAGAGCACCTGCCTGGCAAGCCCAGAGTTCAAATCCCAGTACCATAAAAGAAAAGCTACCTAGCACCCCATTGTGTGTGACCACACTTTATCTGTCCATAGCACCCCATTGTGTGTGCCATGCTTTGCCTGACTGACCACGGCATTTACGTTTTCCCATGCTTTAGCTATTGCAATGAACATAGTGACACCAGAGTTTTAGCCCCAAGGCCCAAACTCCTGGGCTTCCACATGTCAGGTCACCTGCCACCGTATGCCAAGGAAAGAGGCATGATGAAGCCAGAGAAAGGAAATTTATCACACGGCCTGGGACATGGCTGTGGGAAGAGGCAGAGTAAGCCCTCAGCCCGTCTTCGGCCGTCGTCACGGTAAAGATGAGTTTAGGTATAAGTAGTATGCGTCGTTAAACAGTCCTGGTCACAGGTGTGGTCAGTGGTCCAGCAGGGCTGGTTGACCATTATCTCAGTCCTTGAGAAGATGTCATTGCTGTCATCACTTGAGGGAGCAACCTGGTCCCCAGGCGTGATCATTCCTCCTCCAGGTGCAGCCTCATCATTATAGGTAGTTGTCCTTATTTGGAGGGCTAGGCTCTCCTGTAAGCCTCTGCTCTTCCTTACAGGAAGTTTCAGTCCCTTGTTGTAATGATGTTATGGATCATTTCTGTTCCTCCTTGATTCCTAGGTGGCTGCAGGAGAGAATGTTTCAGAGCCAAGGACAATAGAACAAAAGAGAGGCAGAGATGACGAGCATTTCTCCTGCTTTTAGGTCCAAGTAAGGAGTCAGTGCTTTTAAGTCAAAACAGATTAAGCACCTCTCACAATTGGAGTGCTAACATCACTTCCAGATCTTAATTTCAGGGCCAGAGGCATGGCTCAAGTGGTAGAGCACCTGCTTTGCAAGTGCAAACTCCTGAGTTCAAACCCCAGTACCACAAAAAAAAAAAAAAAAAA